CCTTAAAAAAACATATTGCATGAAGTTTATATATTGTGGGCCAGCACAGTCTGTAACTTCTCTATGGGAGAGATGTGACAGTTTTTGCAACTCCACGCAGTATCTTTGGGGTCGCTTGTTTTACGTGAATGGCTTATGTATAATTATGTACAGCTCCTTCGGGAACTAAAAACGAGGTGGTGATTAAGGCAAATCAGCCAGGCTGCAAACCCTCCTCCCCTCCAAAAGGTACAACTTCCTGTGGAGACTCCCATATACTAGTTCAAAGTAGATTCTCCGGAGAGCAACAGACAAAGAAAGGCCTTTGGGACAAAGTGCCTGAGTTTAAACTAACTGGGGCCTTCCTTCTGAGCCAGCAAATGGACAGGACTTTCTGTCTGAGGGGTTGGGGGGACCCTTGCGTAAGCATTGGAAGGGCTTGACATGCTAGGGCCCCACAAGACTGATGGTGGCCTCTGGTGAGCTGTCAGCGTGCATGTAGGAATGTTTATTGTTTTTAATGTGTTTTCTCTGTAAAGCTTTTCCCTGAAGAATACATGTGCTTGCTTAGAAGAAGCTGTGTGGCAACTCACAGCTGCAGGCAATACACTGAGCATAGGCTCTGGGGAGACAGCAAAGCACGGACACTCGCCTGCTTAGGCAGTCTGGCTTGCTGGGGATATCAGAGTGTAAATCCAGGGAGCTGTGCAGCCTAAAAACCACAGTCAGGAGGGAGACACATGCAGGTCTCTGCACAAGAGAGGTGACAGCTGGGAGCCAGAAACCTTTAAGTGGGTGCCCTCAAGGGACTGTGGATGGAGAATACAGGTGCTGCTACCCTGAAATTGTGACATGGAGGAACTGCAGCACAGACAGGCTAAGTGACAGGCTCAAGGACACAGGAAGTCTGCGGCAAAGCAGGGAATTGAACCCAGATCTGCCAACTCCTTGGCCCCTAGATATTGCCATAATAAACATGATTAATAGCAATTATAATCCCCACCCACTTTAAAATCAGCATTTCTGCCACTTCAGCACCTCCTGCTGGTCTCACTGATGATCAGGGCTGGCTCCAGGCACCAGCTTGGCAAGCAGGTGTTTGGGGTGGCCACTCCGGATAGGGGCGGCAGGTCCAGCTATTCAGTGGCAATTTGGCAGACGGTCCCTCACTCCCGCTCGGAGTGAAGGACCTTCTGCCGAATTGCCACCGCAGATCGCGATCGCGGCATTTTTTTTTTTTTGGCTGCTTGCGGCAGCCAAAACCCTGGAGCCAGCCCTGCTGGTGATGCACCATTGCAGACTGAAAACAAGCCACCCAGACCAGGCCCTGAAACCCTAGCTTGGCTGGCTGGCAGTAGATGTTCAAAGGAGGACGTTATTTCCCTGACACCAGAACCTGGTGGGAACTGCTTCTTGGTCTCTGGCTCCGTGTGGCCCCATTGGAACACGAGACAGTGGCTCAGTGGCCAGCAGTATGGGGAAACACAGAAATCCAGTGTGAGGTTAGACACACCATGGTCTAATCCATTCCCCAGTTTATATTAAGGATGGGGGCAGAGGGGATGGAGCTGCTCTTCCCCAAAGCCTCACAGGCCACTTGGTCATTACTTTCCTATTCCTCCTGTCCAGGTTTGATGTGAACTTTCGCTGTGGCGGGGACAGAAAGAATGAAATCGCCTTTCACTTTAAAGCTCTCTTCCAAGAGGACAGGAACAGCGTCGTTTTCAACAGCTTGCTGAACAAAGAGTGGGGCCAAGAGGAAGAGAGATGTTCTAGCCCTTTACGCAAAGGGACGAGCTTCCAGCTGCAGTTTGTCATTACTGAAAACGGCTACAAGGTAAGGGATGTAAACAGTGCCGAGCTGGGAGCTGCAGCTGTGTCTAACCTAGGTTTCAGAGGACGAGGAGGATTGTTGAACTGCCTTAATCAGGGAAAGTGTCAATTTTAAAATAGCAACGACCTGTCTCCTTTGAGAATGTTTTGGGTGGGTGCGCCCGGCATGAACACAGGTACCCCTCCTTCCCGAGCAATCCATTTCCTGGTTGGAGACAGCAGGAATTCTCTTGACTCCCAGGCACCATCCATTCGTGCCCCCAGACCCCAGTCCCTGTTGGTTCTGTAGGCAGGGTGGTATGAACACCCGGTCCTTGCTTCTGTTCCATCTCCTGCCAGCCTGGGTGAGCAACAGCTAGAGTGGGTGAATATGGTGGGAACGAACCCCTGGCTCTGCATTCCCCCTGTTCCGTGCTGATGATTGATTTACTAATTCCACTCTGCAAACATCCATTGACCTACCTACGATGGCAAGGAACCTCCGACCAACCCCCAAAGAAACGTTGTGCTATGGCCTGGCCGAGATTCACTGTTTCTAACGCTCCCCTTTACTCACCAGGTGATTGTGAACAACAAGCGCTTCTATGAGTACTCTCATCGTATCCCGATCGAGCAAGTGAAATTCCTCCAGGTGACTGGGGCTGTGGAGGTGCAGCAAATTGAGATCTTCAAAGACAGCAACACCAGCAGCTCTACATCCCCTGAATCCAAATAGAGTGATTCTGGCAGTGATGTAGGTGGCACCCACAATAAGCAGGTAGTCGCAGGAAACTTGTCTCGGTGAGGTGACCACTGAGCAGACGTAGTCAGGTTGCTGGGGGTTGAGGATTTGCCAACAAACAGGCCATTCTGCTCTCCCCACCTCCAACTGGGGCACTTTTTGAATCTGATAAAATAAAAACAATGGTGTGTGTTGATTTTAAATCAGTCTATAGAATCAGGGAAGCGTTATTCCAAATACAATAAATTCTGCTGTGGCAAAAGCAGTCACGCCTGTTGTTATTGTGAGTAATGGTAATTTATTCATGGCTTCTAAAGCAAGTCCAGGAGCAATAGGCTAGTGTGTGGCCCAGGGAATACAGCTCAGGGACTGCGGACACCTGGGTTCAATTCCCAGTTCTGGGAGACAGTCTGATCTAATGGCTGGATCAGGAGGCCTCGGATTCTCCTAGGTTCTATTCCCATCTCTGGGGAGTGACTGAGAGGGCCATGGGGTTGCACAGGTATCAATGAGAGCTTCATTTGCCCTGCAGAAACTTTACCTCTTATTAGAGACACAGAAAAGAAGGGGAAACAGTTAAAGCCTTTGGCATGTAAAGTATTAAATAAGGCTTTCATTTTATTTTCATTTCATTTCCGTTCGGCAGAGTTCTCAGGAGCAAACACACCTTTAGATGGTACTAACGATCCTTGTTGGGGAAAAGAGAAGCAGTTAGTTGAGATGGGCTGGAGCTGTTGTCATTACTGTTGTTGTTAAAGTCCAATCCCACTTCCTACAAGGCAAATACACAAGGGAGGGGAGAGAAAAGAAAAGCAAAGTCATAAAATGCAGCTTCTGTCCCTGGTGTTGTCTCTTACTTGCCACCTCGCTGCTGAAAAACACAGGCATGGCACACGCTCTGAACAGCCACTCTGAACTGGTACCAGCATCAGGCTGTTTAGGGCATTTCTTTTAGCTGCCTCTCTGGTCACAGGCTTACAGCAGTGTCCCAAAATACGCAGTATTGGCCAGCTAAGCCACGTTCTTATTAGACAGAAGGCAAAAGGAGCAGGGCTGGCACCAGCCGAGCAAGCTCGTGCTTGGGGCGGCAGATGCCAAAGGGCGGCATTCCGTCTAATTTTTTTTTTTTTGCGCTTCACTGCTTTGGCCGCCCCTGCAGGTTTTTCTTTTTGGTTTGCTGCTCCCGCCCTGTAGGGGGCGGAGGAGGGGAGCACCCTGTAGCAAGCCCGGCAGGGCAGCCCGCGTCCTTCCCTGCCTGCCGACCGGAGTGGTGCGGAGCCCTCCCGGCAGGCGGTGCAGCGGGAGGGGCCGCGTGGCAAGCGCCCCGCATAAGGAAGCCCTGGCCGCCCCCCTTCTCTCTCCCCCCCGCCCCCCGCTAGCCGGGGTGCGCACTCCGCTGCCTGGTGTCTGCAGGGCCGGGAGTCCCCCTGCACCCACACTCCCGTCGCCCCGCAGGTATTTTTGTTTTTGTTTTTTTTGTTTTTTTCTTTCCTTTGCCGCTCCAGCAGGCCGGCCAGTTTGTTCCCCCCTCTTCTCGCCGCTCCGGCCGGGGGCAGGTTCGTTTCCCGCCCCCCTTCGCCGCTCCGACTGGGGGCAGGTTTGTTTTCCTCCTCCCCTCCTCCCCCCCTTGCTGCTCCGGCCGGCCGGGCGTTTTTTGCTTGGGGCGGCAAAAAAAGCCAGAGCCGGCCCTGAAAAGGAGAGGGCTAGCAGCAGTGCGGGGTGGGGAGGGAAAGGAGGGTAGAGAGGCTCTGCCTGGCCCCAGGCCCTCACAAGGGTAGCGAGGGGTGGATCTGTTTACCTTCAATCTCACCTTTACTTGCAAGCTGTGATCCTGCCATAGAACTCTCTGTGCATGATGATAATTCACCCGTCCACACCCCAAGCACCTACATGCCACAGCCCTAATGCCAAATGTTAACAAAACAACAGCAGGGATGCCTGCCACTGGAGGCTCCTGAGATGCAAGGCCAGAGCTCCCTCAAAGCAGTGGCCTGTGGGGTTCCCTTGTGGAATCGAACAGTCAGACTCCACGCTGCACAGGGAGCCACAGCCCCACTCCTGGTGCAGCTCCTCTTGCACTGACTGGCAGGAAGACTCAGAACAAGGCAGCTCCTCCCCCTCCCCCGTACTCATTTCCCCCTTTAGCTAGTTGGCTCTGGGCTGTGAGGAGCTGATCAATGCACATAGGATGACCAGATGTCCCGATTTTATAGGGACAGTCCCGATATTTGGGGCTTTTTCTTATATAGGCTCCTATTACCCCCCACCCCCTGTCCCGATTTTTCACACTTGCTGTCTGGTCACCCTAAATGCACATGCCGTTCCAAAGCTGGTTCTGGACAGCTATCTATGGGACTTACACCGCTCCATCACCGTAGCACCTGAGCAGCTCCCAATAGTTAATCTGTTTAACCCCACAACCCCGCAGTGAGGCAGGGCAGTGCTAATATCCCCTTTGTACCGATGGGAAACTCAGGCACAGAGAGGCTCTGTGACTTGCCCAGGGTCATACAGAGCACCTGTGGTGGAGCAGGCAATTGAACCCAGGACTCTATCTAGTGTCCTAATAGCTGGATTGTCCTTCCTCTTCCAGAGCTGATCCCCAATATCCCATCCCCAGCCGCGTATCAGGCTCCTACTCACGTTTCACTCAGGTTGTCAAGCCTGCCGCTTGCCTCTACCTCAGTGATAAAGATCGCCCACTAGGAATGGGGCTGGTGATTCTATTGATGATGTATGACTCTGACTCCATTTCCCCAACAGGGGTAATGGGAGCAAGAAACTGAGTCAACCAAATCTGCTTGTGAAACTAGGACACGTGGAAGCAGGCTGGGACGTGAGTAGGAGCCATTTTTAAAGGTATTACCACAGCCCTCCTTAATTCATTCCTGAAATCTGTACAACCTCCCCCCAGTTGCTGATCTCTCCCTCTTCTTCCCCCAAAGTGTCTTCGGTAAAACAAAGTGTTTCTTTGTATCAAATTTAAATTTGCTGCCATTCTAATTTCATTGAATGTCTCCCTGTTCTTGTCTTATGAGAGAGAATAGGAGCATTCCATTTACCTTCTCTAAACCTTTCATTCCATTGTATGCATCTCACCTGTCAACTCTTAATTTCCTCTCTAAATTTTAATCTTAATCTTTCCAATTTCTCTTTATATGGAAATCTTTCCTGGCTCCTAATAGTCCCCTAATAATAACCTTTCCTTTGTCACCTTCCTACAGATTCACTGTGCTAGGGGTGCTGTACAGACACTGTGAAAAAATGGTCTTTGGCCCAAAGAGTTTAAAAGATCAGTAACTGGATGCAGATTACTGATACGAGTTTGACATTCCTCAGAAATGGTTTACTCTATATTTTTCCGTGTCAGAAATAAATGTGCTGTGCTTCAGGACCCTCTGGTGGGCCAGATGGTTCATCTCAGTCAGTAATTTGCCCAAGTGCTTGTTGCAGCTGGCTGGTGTAACACACTGGTAAAGCGTGCGTGTCTGTGTGTCATAGTCCCCCTCTAGTGGCCGGAAGCCTCATGTTCTGGAACTTAATACAAGGAGCAGAAGGCCCTGTTGTGCAGGAGCAACCTTAACCCCACCTTAGGGTATGTCTACACTACGAAATT